TTAGTTAGATATAGGCTAACCAATTTTTCTACTCTACAGATATATCAATCTTGCAAAAAACTTTATTAATCTTATGATCTAATGATTAGATTTTAATAATTTTAAACTTGTTAAAATCATTTCACTAAAACAAATATTTTAGTAGTTGTTTTATTAAAAATGAACCAGTAGATCAAAAGTTATTAGCTATTAAAGAAAATATCAAATTTATATCTGTTTAGTATAATTTTAAAAATTGAAGTATATAAGATATAAAAAAATATTGATCATCAAAATACAAAAATTAAAAAAACAAAATTAATAAAAAACTACACAAAAGCTACTAAAAAACCAAACTTAGAGTTTTAAAAAAAGAAAAAAAAAACTACAAAAAACACTTAGTCTCTTAAAAGACTTGAGTAAAAAAAGCAGAAGCAACAAAGAAATAGAAGAAATTATGAAAAATCATCGATATTATTTTACTTTTTGTGAACTTTTGGAGAATTGGTTTTAACTCTAAATCTAAATTTGTTTTGATAATACAAAAATTACAACACGTAATGAAGAGTAAACAAAAGAAACATAAAAAAACTATGTGATGAAGATAAACAAAGTTAGTAAACAATCACAACAAACAACAATATTCAATAATAATAAAAAAACAACAAGTCATATAAAGCAAAATTTATCTTCGCAAAAAATATTAGAAGTGATCCAGGACATAACAGCAAATATAACTGATGAAGAGATAAACTTTAAAGTAAAACAAATAATAGCAGAACAGGCTAGAAAAAAACTTATTACAAAAGAAGAAGCTTTGTCACAAATAGAAGAACTTTACGAAAAAATATAGCAATATAATAAAAGAGAACTAGAGTACATAAGACTTGCACTTATAGAAAAAAACCATTATAGCTTTTACAAAGCATTATGACAAAAAAAAGACCCAGTTAATTTTATTATACAAGAAAAAATATACTGTATAATAAAGAAATTAAAAATAGCTAATAAAGTAAGAAGTTTACTAGAAGATGCTGAAATAAAGTCAAAACTAAAATTAGGTTAAAGCAAGAAACTTCAAGAACAAAGAGTAAATTGACAAAGGCAATACAACAAAACAACCCTAAAGTCTTTAGTATATCGATTCAAAGTAGCTATCAAAACTAAGGTAGCAAACTAATACAAGACAAGAAGAAAAGCTAAAAAAAAAAGAAAAGATACAAGTTTGGCAAAAAGAAAAACAAGCTGCTAAAATAAGATCAAAGTTAGAACTAAACTGAAGCAAAAGACTTCAAGAACAAAGAAAAACTCAACAAAAATAGTATAATAAAACAGTATTAAAAACTTTAATAATACAATTTAAAGTATTTGTTGAATTTGCCACAGCAAATCAAAAGAGAAAAAAAAAGAAAATCAAAAATAAATACAAAAAAAAACAAGAAACAAGATATCTTAGATATTACAAAAGCAAAGTTGCTAAACAAGATTCAAGAAGAAACAAAACCAACAATCATATTAACAACCTAACAAAATAGTTGATAGAAGTAATATATCAAGTAAATATTAAAGACTTATAGCACAATAATAAAATCTAGAAAAAAAAGAAAAAAGAATTGCTAATAAAATGAATATACTGCATAAAGCCCCAATAGAATTTTGACATGAATCTGTTATAAGACACACTAGTAACCAAATCAAAAAAAATTAAAAATTAAAAAAAAAAAAAACACTTTATTAGAGATAGTAGAAAAGTTTTTTAAGAAACTGAGAAATCTTTATCGAAATACAGGAAAAGTTCTTAGAGAAAAGGCCAAGTCTTAAAAAAATAAAAATAAAAATAAAGAAAAAAAAAAAAAAATCTCTATACCCAGAATATAAAGAAGAAGTATCTCATCAAAAAAAATCAAAACTTAAGAAAAAAAAGAACAAAAGAAGATCTAAAGCAGTTAGAAGAAAAGAAGGTCTATAGAAGAGTTTTTCTAAAAAAAACCTATAGAACAAGCTCTCACAAATAAGAAAAGAAACATAAAGCTATGAACTAAAAAAAAGGATATGAGTAAACTCCCAAGAAATAGGTTTTCAACCAGAAAAGACAGGTTAAATTAGAAGAGAAAGAAAGAGAAGCATAAATATAAACAAAAGAATTTTAGCAATAATCTTTTGATAAAGAAAGAAGTAGAATTGTTTATTAATAGAAAATTAGATTTAGTTTGTTGTTTCAAAAAGGAGAATAGTTTAGAAAAAAAATTTGGTAACCAATTGTTAAAAATTCTTTTGTTCCGAAACCATCTTGTTATAGTTTTACTGGCTAGCTTGGTGCAACCCCCAGTATGAACAATAGCCTTAACTGATATAGCAGACTGTACTTGGACATCTTTAGAGATAGGGTTCAGAGCATAGAAAAAAATTTGAGCATGTCTATATAGGCATACTTCTGAGCTAAGACATGCTTTTCATGTCTATAGGCATACTTTTTTAAATCATATGATTAATATATAGTTCACAACTTCTTAAAAATCTCACATGTTGATTTAGTATCTATGGTTCTAGTTTATCTGAACTTATTAACCAATTAAAATAACTTTGAATATCACATAACAAGGATATGCCTTTTGGACTTGAGGCATGCTCCATGTTCCTGTACCCTAAACTCTATTTAGAGATAGCCAAGTAATATTAAATCTATAGTTTAGATATACTTGTATATTTGCTTTGATTTAATAAAAGATATTGGCAAGGCTGCCAATATAAAAAAAAACTATAAGATATAAATAAAATATGATAATAACTAAAAGAAAAAATAAAAAAATTCTATTACACTATCTCTATATACTAGCTTTTTATAGACAATTCATTCTATTATTATTAAAAATATTTTTAATTCTAAAAGACCAATTTTTTACTACAGATTATATACTGTTACACTTTTAAAACTAATTCTGCCAAAACTGATAACCCACTATAAATAATTAAAATTTGATCTACTATATTGGTTCTATAAGTAAAATCTAATAACCTGTTATTTCTGATATCTGATATTTAATTTATTTAAACTTTTAATATAGTTGATTATAATTGTATAAGATTCAGCTAATTAAATTAATGATAGGTATATATGGTGCAGAGCTACAAATCAAATTTCAATATGTTTTGTTATAAATTGTTTATTTCTTAAAAATTTAAATAAAAACCTTCAATATTCTGACTAAAAGCTTTTCTTGAGTTTAGTATAAATTTAGCTAGTATCTAACACTAATATAAATATAAATCCTAATAGCAATAAACTTTTTAATAAAGTTTTATTATTGCAAATCTGTATTACAGACCTAGCACATACCAATTCTGCAATTTGATTGGCTGATTTATGATCATTTAATTATGTAATATTTTTAAATCTGATAATCTTTCAAAATTAATACAGAACTTGTTTACTATATATACTGGTTTTAAGAGAGCTAACAGTATGTATTTGCTACTTTTCTTACTACTTTAACTTTAAATAGAGAACCAAAATATTCTATAGAATAAATAAGCAAACTCTGTAAACTCTGCAATTTTACTATTAAAAAATTAATAATTACTAATTATTAGTAAAGCTTATTTCTTATATTGCTTACCTATTTTATAGAATATCTAAAAACCACTCTTCTAAGCAATTATCTGTATCTTTAATCCAGATAAGAACTTATTTGCATAGTTTGTTAACCACTTTTTTTTTAAATACTTTATAAATTAGATGTAGAAATATTAGTATTGCCTAATCATAATAATCAGTTTTTTGTAATATAATACTGTATTATATATAATATCTACTCTTCACATTTTGGTCTTCTGAAAATTTTTATTCTAACTTTATACCTGCATTTGAACTTGCTACAAGGCTTTATATTCAATTATAACCCTCTAAGATTACAGAAGCTCTCAATTAAAAATATTTCTAGTTGATTTTATTTCAACCAATATAACAAATTACTTAAAAATACTGTTAAAAATATAAGATATTATCTTTGTAATAGATTTATTTGTATACAATTATAAAATATATATATCATATTAATTCTAAAAATAGATATTTTTGTATAACTAAAGTAGAAATAACAATGTCCTGTTTTTATTATAATTTTTATTATAAACTAACATTTATATATTAACAAATATGACATATTCCCTGACTGTTATGTTTTAATAGCACCGTGCCCAGCACTTGCAGAACCCTAGTGTCAATATAACCAATTGTCGGTTAATCCAGCTGTCGGTATAACCAGAGTGATGTATATTCATATATTAAATAGCTTTAAGAAATCATATCAATTTTTTTTTTTTGTGATCATAAAGTTCACAATTTTTCAAAACGCAATAATTAATTGTTAACTAATCAACTAATGGATCTTTTCAACTTTCGATTTGAAACACGATACTTTTGCAAACAGAGCATGGATTCAAATTTCGTACTATTTATTAATTTGACTTTTACACGGACAATATCTCTTCCCCACATCATCGCAAAGCTTGAAATATGCTACGCTTCAATATAGTCAATAGGTCAATCACGATAATTTGTAAACCAATTTGTGGTACTAAGGTAAATATGTATAAAGTGGTAAATTAATCATAGGAAAATCTATTAAGAAATGAACCATATTTTGGTGAAATTTGGTTGGCTTTTATTAATCATTTTTTGTGTTATACGCCCTAACGTAGAAATTCACTCAATGCATCAAAATGTATAATGAAAAAACAGATCCTAAAAGGTCAACCAAATCCTGAAGGTATAAAGCATTTTGAACAACTTGATAGATAAATTTCGATTTTTAAAAATTACAACGCACATTCCCAATGTCGTAAGGTTATGATCGAAATATTTCGCTTCTGCGGAATTATTTCACTCTGGAGAAATGTTACTGATTTTGAAAATTAATTTTTGCCGGATATAGGATAATCGGGTAGAAATGCCGAAAATTTTCGTAATACCGCACTAAATTCGGTTTAAAAATGATAATTAGCATAGGTGAATTTGAATTTCATTGTTCGTCGTTCGTCTTGATTGCATGAGGTAGAGACTGACCGCTGAATTTCACCTTATTTTTATATGATTCACGACGACGTCCACGAACGAATCGTAGAAATCTGATTATTGTTCTCCTGTAAAAACACTAAGATTATTTGTGAAAATGATTGACCATACTTTTTCTGGCTAGACTTTTCCCGAAATAATTAGTAATGAAAATATGAATCCCATTCGCCTGAAACTTTTACTCGGAAAATAATGGTTGTTTTCCTTTCATAAAAAAAAAATCTTTCTACAAGTACATTTGAATGCATTTTATTATTCCCACCGAATATAAACTTCATTTTTATTGCAAGTAAATAAGGTTGCAAGGAAGAAAATTTTCTTATTAAGAATTCGAAAAGCGATATATACCGATCAGATCAATGATAGACTAAGAGGTAGGTGGTAAAAAGTTTTTTGGTCTGGGTAAAATATTATACCCAAAAGGATCATCAGGGCATTGTGGTTGTTGTCGAAGACTTGTACCACTACCACCCCTACGGTTACGTTCTCTTTCAATTAGAAAATTCATTAATATTTTCATTTTAAAGTATTTATAACAAGAATGAATCAATATATAATAAGCAAATAATCGGCTCACATGGTATTTTCCTTCTTAAGCATTTGTTTATGCCATATTTCTTGTTCATCATCCGAAAAATCACGTTCCTATATTTAAATTAGAAGTTAAACAAGTCATGATAATTTTTTTTTTTTTTTTTTTTTTTTTAAAAAAAAAAAACTAAATACATCGTCATCAACTTCTTCATCGTTAATGTTACTAGCATCACATCCTTTAAGCTGACGAATTTGATCAGGAAACGCATAATGAATGTATTCATCCGCAGCATATACATTAGCACCTTTCACAGTTTTTTCTTTGTTGAATTCACTTTCATTATTAAAACGAACTACGTACAAAGGCTGGCTAACTGGACCTATTGTTTCAAAAATCTTGATTGGTGGTCATAAAACCACTATTATTATATGAAAGTACACTTAAGCTGGCTGAATCTCATGAATATTCTACTTTAAACTCACGGTCCCAAAAACTTCTGGGCCTTCAAGTAATAAGACAGTATCAGAATCCAAGACTTGATTTTCTCCAGGGTTAATTGATTTAATAACCACATAATTTTCCACAACGTGAAGTATTGTTCCAATCAATTTTAATCCCATGTCTGGTTTAAGGTCAATTTCTGGTTTAGGTATTACTACATCAATTAATTCATTCTTAGTGCGTAAAGGAATAAGACAATCATTATTGGCATTTATTTCAGAATTAATGATTCGCTCCATCAAAATTATGTTTCGTTCATGCTGCTGAGGGTCCATCAACTCGGCATCAAGGATTTCTTCATCAGTTGACAAATCAGAACTGGCAAAGAAACTTTGCTAAATTCACGTTGAATATTTAAAAAAATACGAAAGATGTATTTGTTACCTATCATCATAGGAATCGATTAGCGATGAATCGAACGATGAATCAGATGAAGTATCAGATGAAGAATCGGATGATTCATCTAATCTTAGGTCCTCTTCGAATGAACAAAAACTCATTTGAGGCAAAATAGTTGTTAGCGGATCAATCTTGAATAAATGAGTGCTCGAGAATAAAAACCTGTAAGACTCAAAATTTTGTATGATTTTTTGACTAATCAAATTTCAAGATCAGCCTGATCTTGAAATTTGATTGGTCAAAAATCATAACTTACAGGTTTTTATTCTCGAGCACTCAAATATAATAGCCAATAATATAGCATGAATCATGTGATTGATCACTTCTTTTATATAAAAATCAAAATTACATGTAATTTTTATCATGTGAATAATTTTTGCAAAAATTTTTATAACGCTTGCATTAAAAATAAACAAGGGTCGCATCGCATAGATGCGGTTGCTGTGAGTTATGGTCACGGGCGATTTTTTATTAGATTATGAGTTTTTTATTTTATTATCCAATTACAATAGAGCGGAATAATTCATGTGACTATATTAACTTATAACGATTTGTAAGTTTGAAGTTTTAATGTAATTCTTGGAGTCCTCTTGCGTATATTACGTTTAGTCTTTTGTACTCAGTTAAAGCAGCTTTTGGTGATATTAGGTATTTGTAATCGGAATTAATAATGCGAATATTTTTCCATGAAGTTGCACGGCTCATTGCGACGTAGGCTTGATCTTCAGCAAAAATGGATTCGTCGATAGAAGTGGTTACATGAGGTAAGGTTAATCCCTGTACTTTGTGAGCGGTGAGTGCAAAGGCATTTTGGAGGGGAAATTGTTTTCTTGATGCTCTTTTTCTGTCTATATTGAAGTAGGTTGTTTCTTTTTGAACAATAACTTTAATTAGGTTAGTAAAAGTAGGGAATGTTACTTCTATGTTTTGATAATCAATAATTTTCGTTATGATTCCAATCAAGCCGTTACAGATGTCATTATCAAAAAGTTTATTATTTAGAAACATAACACGTGCTCTCTCTTGTAGGTGTATGGTATGAGGTAGATTTGTTAAATGCTTGAAATTGGTAATTGAGTGGTTTTTATTTAAAATTTAGAAGTTTAGAGTATCTTCGGACGTAAAGATAAAAGGTTCACACGTTGTATGATCAAATGGGAGATAGCTACATAAAAGCTGGTTTATGTTGTTAGCAGCTTGACGTGTACTAACTATGTGAGTAGTATTGTAGAATTCTTCAGGATCATTACTTGTGTTGATTTTTGATTGAATAATGATTTTAGTTCTATTTGATAGGTGACCAATTCGTATTTCTTGTAGAATGTTATAAGAGTCAAGATCGTCACGTTGATGTTGTGGAGTTTTTAGGAATAGAGGGAAGAAGGGTGACCAGGCCGGGGACTGAAAAACATATTTTGGTTTTACTGGAGGTAGTTGAGCCAAGTCACCTACTACTGGAGTTGGTATTCCTCCAAAAACTGAATTATTGTTATGAATTTTGGTGAAGGTATTGCTAGCAAAAGTGAATAGATCTCCATCTATCATTGAGATTTCTTCAATTATTAACGCATCTATTCTTTTTAATTCGATTTCGTCTTTATTATTGGAGTGAATTAGGGTTTCATATCTTCCGTCATGAGATTGAATTTTTAATAATGAGTGTAGTATTTTTCTACCAATATTGTGAGCTGCAACTTCGGTAAAGGCCATTAATAAGTTTTTTTTTTTTTTTGATTGGAGTAAGGAAGTTATTTGATGTAATAAAAACGATTTTCCAGTTCCAGCAGAGCCTGTTAAAAAAAAGTATAGATATTTTCCTTTAGATATTTTTTTCCATACATTGGATAACATAGAGTAAATTTGGTATTGATCAGTATTTAGGGTTAATAAGGAATGAGATTTTAAGTAGGGATGATGTTTTTCTAAAAAGATAAATTGATTGAAAATCAGATCAGACAAATCACAATTTTCAAATTCTTGGATAAGAGAAGTTATTATAGAATTATATGATTCAGATAAACAATTTCTTTGTTCAACATAGCTTTTGCGAATTGATTCAGTTATTTGATAGTATCTTATGGGAAACATTGTTCAGAATCTGTCTTTATATATTTCAAAATCTTCAAGTAATTCTTGTTTGAATCTTACAGAAATTTTCATAATAAGATGCTGAAAAAAAAAAAGCTCTTTGTCTTCTATATTGTAAACAGCAAATCTTAGTAAAATCGGATTTTTTTGTTGAATAACCAATCTATTCTTGCGGTCTTGACAATAGAATAAGTTGGAACGTTGGCTTGGTTGTCTAGATCTGAAGGTATAATTGCAAAAATAATCAGAATATGTAATTGAGTCAAAGTTTGGATGATTGGGTTAGTCAAAATATTTGTCAATTGTATCATCCCAATATAGAAGCTCACTGTCATCATTGCTATCATTACCGTCATCATTTAATTGAGATAGAAGATGGATTGGGTTAACAGATCTAGGTCTAAGTTCAGAGGGTGCAGATGGGAGATAAAGTACAGAAATGAAGCATCTTGTTAAAAGGTACTGTAATAACAGGATCATTAGCTCCATAGCATTTAATCTTCGTGCTATAATATATCTCCTGTATTCATTATTTTCGGAGATATTGAAGAGTTCGTAAGGTTCAGGTTTCGTTATGTATTTTGTTATGTATTTGGCAAATCCATTTAATGTAACATATTGAAAATTTATATGTTCTCTCCAAATCAATAGAGTTTCAGAGTGGTATGAAATGACCATCCTGTTTTCTTGTTTGGTACGATGATACATGTAACGTAAATTGTTTGGAGAACAGTATGCTCTTTCCGATAATGGCTAGGGAAAAACCTTTGAAACACTGTTTATCAGTTGAGTCTTATTCTCTATATCTGTAATTGCAATGATGTATTTGAAATGTTATAACTAATTGGTATAGGTCAGGTTCTGAGATAGGGTCAGGAATGTCAGCTCGAATCGTATTCAAGAAAATTAATTCTTGAGA